CCACCCCAAATAAAAAGAGGGTCCTGCTTCAAATGGGTTTTGGTTTCTGAGTCACTATTTTATTTTCTTAGAGTAAGTGCTCTCTTTATACCAAAGTCTCCTGCTTAGGACTGTTGAAATGACCCATATTTCAAGCATAAGCTCTTGCTAAAAGAGAGGCTTTCTGCCTCGCCAGTGAGGTATGACCATTATTTACCAGTGGCGGCTGTCAGCCGATTGAGAAATGCCTTTTTATTTGCGCAGGAAGAAGGGGCCCAGAGAGGAGAGAGTTTTCTCAGCAATTCCCAGACCAGCCAGCCTGTGTGTCTTCTTGCCTCTCCCCCACCCTGTGCCCAACTTGTTTCCTAATCGCTCCCACCCCTGTCTTCTCCCCCAATGCCAATTCCAAAAACCTTGGAGGGGTGACTGGCTGGGTCTGAGCATGCCGGGGAGGCTCTGTTGGGGATCCGCCTTTTATGGGATAGGGGCCGGTCTCGAGCTCTGCAAGCCCCGAGGACTTGCCCCCTAACACGTGTCCCCCTGGCGTTTAGCAGCAGTCCCTGTGTGCGAGCCTGCACCCAGGGACAGGTAAGTGGCCCTGTCCAAAATCAGGCCTCTGAGTGCTGCTGCTTGGTTTGCGGGTGTCGAGTTAGGATTTGGGGTTCCACCTGCCCCCCTCCCCCCTGATACTTTGACCCTTTAGAAAGTGGATTCATTTGAACGTGCTCGAGTGTAATGCCGGTTTAAACATCTGAGAACTTGTAAAAAATACGAAAGCAAACGTACCCTAATCGTGTGCCTGTGGCTTGTGCCCCTCGGACCCCTGCCAGGGAGCAGGGCGTAGACCAGCCCCTGGCTGGCTCCTGGGTCCCCAGGTCGCTCACTGTCCCCCTTCCCAAACCTGCTTGCAAGTCACGGAAAGGAGGCTCAATTAGGCTTTTGTTTGGTATCATCGGTCTACAGAACGGGTTAATTACAGGCTCTCACGTGGGGGCAGAGAGAAAACAAACTTTGCATTGAAAACGTTACAGTGCATTAGCCATGCCTGTTGATTACTTTGATTGTTGTGTCTAATTCTTGACAGAGGGGTAATAATTCGGCCGCAGTAATCATGGCTTTGTAGTCTGTTGAGAAAAACAGGAGTTATGTCTTATCTCACCCAGATCTTCTCCGTGGTGGTGGGGAAGCCCCGTCTCCCTTCTCACTCCCCTTTTCTTTTCCCTCCCTTCTCTCTTTCTTGCTGTGGACTTGACTCTGTCTGCCTTTCTGGTTCCCTCACCACACCCGGGACTGCTAGTAACTCAGCTGTCAGGACAGCAGGTCCGGCGTGAACACTGGTGCCAGGGTGCACGCGCAGTTGCTGATCGCCAGAGCCCCGGTCATTAAATGCCCTTCCCCAGCCCTGGCCTCTGGTGGGCCCTTTTGACAACTCAGGACCTGGAGATGGAAAGAAACAAAACACCTTTATTTAGGGTTTGAATGCAGCGGAGGGACTTCTTCTTCCAGGCACCCATCTTTGCGACGCTTTATCATCCTGACATTTATTTCTAAGATTAGGGCTGGGGATGGGGGAGGAGGTGATGTTTTACATATAGAGACGTCAGTCTCTTCTGAAGTCCACAGCTTGAATTTAAGTACCGTAATTTGGGAGGGGGAGTGATGATGAATGATTTGGCTTCCGCTCCCTGGCTTCAAGATGTTTGTTGCCCGATGGCTGAGAATGGATTGATGGGTCGATAGCATTCTAGCTCTTTTATTATTCATAGGAAAGGTGTGTTCCCTTCTAGACTCCTCAGCATGT